TCTGGGGACGTGGGGGTGTGGGGATGTGGGGGTGTGGGGGACAGATGCTCCCACCTCCTTTTGGTACACCAGATGCGGTTGACGAGCAAGAGGACGAACACTATGAACAGGAACCCCACAACGGCAGCCAGGCCCCGCAGCCACGGTTGCAGGTGACCCTCGGTGGCTGTTGGAAGGTGGGGGGAGGTGGGACTCAGAGATGGGGAGTGTAGGGCCCCACCAAAGGTGAAGGGGAGAAGGCAGTCCGGGTTGCTTAGTCAGATGGGGGCTGGGTGCCCGAGAAGGGAAAGGTGCTAGGGACCCAGCCTGGGGAGGTGGGCTCGTCCCCACGACCCCTCCCCACCCACCGCCCCCGTGGTGGGCCCCCTTACCCTGCTGGGCTTCAGCGGGCAAGAGGAGCAGGGCGCTGATCACCAGAAGGGTCTTCAGGGCCTCCATGGCGTGGAGGAGCCGGCAGCGGGAGTGCGCAGTCCGGACGAGCCCGGTCCTCTTTGGCTGGGCGAGGCCCTGCCCAGCCCCTGATAAGGCGCAGGTGGGTCCGGGGCAGGGGCAGGCCCTCCCTTCGCCCTACCTGGTTGGCATCCCCCTCCCTGCAGGAGGGCAGACTCTGGACCTGGTGTAACAATTAACCCAGGAACTCTGGCACCTGCGCCCTGCGCCCGCCCAGGACCGCCAACGCGAGGTCCCCCAGGCTCCACGCCACCGGGGCCAGGCCGGGGTGGCCCTAGCCCTTTTCCGGGCCCAGGCTCAGCACTTTTATGGGTCATGCTTCCTTCTCTGAACACCTCCATTATAGAAGCGCATTGGGGCCGGGAGCACAGCGATGGTGCAGAAACGGCCAGCGCTTGGGTCTCCTCCCCACCAACTTGCTCTGCCTCATCCTGCTTCCCTGACCCCTGGGGACCCACAGTCACTGACGGGGTGAGGACTGAACTGGAAGGATGAGCGATGGGCCACTATTCGCCACCAAACCCAGCCACTCCCTGGCCAGAGATCAGGGCACCCTGGGCAGCTGATGACTCAGGCTCTCAACTTTGGTCCCCGGGTTGATTAGATACATGGCCTGCGGGAGTGCAGGAGGGCCCCCCCAGCTGCCACAGGACAGCCACAGCCCAGGCACGTGGGAGGGAGGCCAGGGGGTGGGGGCTGGCCCTTCTTCAGGCTTGTGAGACCTCCACAGGCTGGGGCTGGAGAATGCCAGCATCATTGCACATGCACTTATGGAGTGCTCACTGCATACTTTCCTGAGGTCTGACTCTAACCACCGTGCGGATGGGCCACTCTCGTGTCAATGCTCAGGCAACCCAGCCCTAGAACAGGCCCCCTTCGACCAGCCAGCGGGCATATATGAAGCGCCTACTGTATGTCTGTCCTGTGCAAAGCTTGGAAGGGAAGGAAGCCTCAGGTGCTGTCCCCAGTTCGCAGGCTAATTGGGGAGTCAGGACCCCCAGAGACAGATCCAGCAACAGAGCAGTGGAGCCGGGAATGAGGTGTGGAGTCGGGGCGGGGGGGTGTACAGAAGTGGGTGAGCTCAGAAGAGTGAGTGGGGGCAGAACCCCAAACAAGTCATTTCTAGGCTGTGTGCCTCCATTTCCCCATCTAAGTCTCACTCAGAGGATTAAATGAGATAATACATGGAAATGGCTCACTTAGCACAATAGCAGGCATGTACTAAGCACTAGGCAAGGGCTGGCTACTAATATTATTATTTTTAAAATCTTCTTGGCACTCTGGGTGTACAGATGGCCTGCAGCTTGCTGGAGGCTGGGCGGGGTTAAACTCTGGGAGTCTGGGGCGCAGGAAGGCAGACATAGTCAGTGTCCTGGCAGCCAAGAAAGGGAACGTTCTCTGCAAGACAGGGCAGAGCGTGGAGAAAGGGCTCCAGGAGCACAGGTCCAGTCTGTACGGCGCCAAGGAGGGTGGCACCTGGGCCCTGGGCCCGAGGGCAGCGCCCAGCTCAGTCCAGCCTCCAGGAGCTTCGGGTGGGTGGTTCCTTGAAGGCGATGGAGGGGCAGTGGGGGG